GAGGATGGCCCAAGTGCATGGGCCCTGCACACCTTGGGAGACCAGGAGAAGCACCTGGCTCCTGCCATCGGATCAGCGCGGTGCGCCAGCCGCGGCGGCCATTGGAGGGTGAACCAACGGCAAAGGAAGACCTTTCTCTCTGTCTCTCTCTCTCACTGTCCACTCTGCCTGTCAAAAAAATTTAAAAAAAAAAAAGTGATCCATGAGACCATCATTCCAGAACAGTCCTTCCCTACAACTGGAGGGCAATGGAAATATGAACAAGTAGGCTTTGCTAAGTTTTCTCCACGTTATTACCTTTAGGTCACACCCACTTTCTCTTCAACCACACTCCATATGCTTGTCCTTCACATATGTGTTCTCTGAGTCTTTGGGTCTTCAGAAAACTTTGAATGAATACATTTTTTATGATTTTTTTCTCATTAATCTCTCTTATGTTTATGCATGTCAGTCATGACCCTTGCAATGGGTGAGGAAAAGTTTTTACAGTGCTCACCTATAGGAGGCTTAACTGTCATTGAAATTAATTTCTATTGTACTTGAATTTATAATCTGTTAACAATTCCTAATTAATAAAATGTGTAACCTTGCTCAGTTTATTATTTGCACTAAGCCTTCTTCTCTTCAGCTTTAAAGCAATGACAACTTTTTAAAATTTTCAAGTAAAAGTTTTAATGTTTATAAAACAGCCAGTATTTAGTAAGGGAAGAAACAGCAGATGTTTGCTGGAAAACTCTGACACATTCTTATTGCTTTATTAGAGTAAGTTCAGTTTTGATTGGTTAAAATCTATCTCACACTAGGAATTGATCTAATTTTGAATACCATCCTAGAAAATGCAACAGAAATTAGCTCCTTTTATCTAAGCCAAAGGGAAAACTTACATAAAAACTGAAATCAGAATAAGACTTGCACAAGCGCACAAGCGAGAAAACCAATAGAGATGTCAGTAATACCAGTGAGGGATGGATCAGCTATTTGGAGCTACTCGTAAGTGTTTTTGCTTCTTGAGTTCTATGAATTGATGGAGTTCCTGGGAAGAGCAGAATAACAATGAGGAATATGAACTCATATCCAGAGCATTTGACATTCATTTGAGATGAGGCCATCAGAAAATTTTAAGATGTAAACCAGGTGCCAGGAGATATTGAAAATAGGAAAATACCATATGAAAAAGCCATAACTTTGTAAACAATTTAATACAGTTTTCAAGTTGCTATTAGATCAATCAAGTGCAGATTCTGTTCATAATTTAAAGTCTAGTTCTTACTTAATCATTTCAAGAATTTTCCAAATACTTGGGTCTATTTTAAATTATATCAAATGTGTTTAGAAAATAAATGAATATTTAGTAAACAGTTTTATGTAATAAGTTCATTGCTAAATAGTTGCAAAAGAATTGTGTGGAAATGAGCAATGGTTAGTTTTGTATTTGCTTGGCTTTATATAAGAAGTATTTATTATTTCAACCTACTCATATTAGTAAGTTCATTTTATGCCTGGATGTTTAATCTAATTAACACAGTAAAGGAAATGATAATTAATAAGTGCCAGTCTTGACATGGCATTTATGGCCCTCAGTGTGATGAATGAAAAGAAATTCCTGATATTTTGAATGATAAAATTTTTTGTTGTGGGGAGCAATTCGGACTAGACTAAGTTACTGGAATTAAGACTTATTCTATGCATCTGCTCTCCCACAATATGGCGCTGGGAGAGAAGAAAACAGCTTTTACACAGCTGCCTCCAGTTCAACCAATAAACTGTAGGAGAGCAGCGTACTCGGCGTGTGGGCAGCCGAGTTAGGATTGGCGGAGGAGGACTATTAAGGAGGAGAGAGACGGCATGCACCAGTAACATCTATGGGGAACATCTAGCTGAAGGAACACCTGTGCAGCCCCCGAGAAGAGCCGGCCAGCAGTGTGCCGCTCCCCTGCGGAAGTGGGGAATGTGGCCAGGGGGAACTGCCCTTCCACGGAGGTGGAAGGGATAGTAGCCAACCCGGGAAGAACCAGCAGCAAACCCGGGGAGGGCCGAGCAGACGAAGGAACAGCGCAGGGTCCTGTGTCGTTCCTCCACGAAGAGGGGGAGCGACATAATGGTGCCGTGACTCGGATGGCAAACTTAGGAGGGAAGAAACGGGAAGAAGTGGGAAAATACCGGAGAGAGAGACTAGCAAAGAGCCTAGGTGCAGGAAGAAGCTATTGAAAGCCTAGGCATAGACTCGGATATGGACTGTGGGAAAGAAGTTAGGATTGAAAGCGAAAGTGAATGCTTTCATAGACTCAGATGCGGACTATGGCGGGGAAGCTAGGAGATTGAAAGCGAAAGTGAAACCTGGAGGAGGCTTGGACTCGGATACGGACTGTGGGGAGTAGCCAGGAGAAATGAGAGGAATATTGTTGGAAGAAAACTTAAGGAAACATACCGGGTAGAGAAAAATGTTGGGGAGGATGAGGCCGCGAGTGCAGGCCGAGGCGGAGATATAAGCCACCTTGGAATTCTTCAAGTCACCCCGGGGAGCAAGAGGCGAAGATCTGGAACCAGAGGCAGAGACGTGGGCCGCCAGGTTGAAATTCGCCAGGTTAGTCCGGGGAACTTGGACTGAATGCCGGTGGTGGCGGAAACATTCGCGGAAGCCGCCGCGTGCAGAGAGAGCTCGGAGCGTGAATAGATAGGGAACCCTGGCGCGAGGCCGTGGTGCGGGCGCGAAGTGCGTGGAGACCGCGGAGCGTGCGCGCAGAGCCGGGAACCCGCCGGCGGGGCGAGGCGCCGGGAAGCCGCGCAGAGCCGCAGAGCCGTGAAGCTGCCGCGGGGCGAGGTGCCGAGAAGCAGCCTCGGGGCGAGCGCCGCCGGGAAGCCGCAGGGATAAGAGAAACAGAAGTTTAGAAGTAAAATGAGAGAAATAGGAATGCTGGAAGATAGAAGTAAAATGGGAGAAATAGGAATGCCCGGAGATAGAGAAATAGAGAAATAGAAAGGCCTCCCCTCAACATGGCAATGAGAAAGTTTGGATTCGGTCTGCCTGATTAGGGAGGCGGTGAGCACCTGCGGGTGGCTAGCAGCTTATGCGCCGCAGGTCACCGAAAACAGGCACGTTATCAACACCAATAAGTCACCCTATAACATGGCAATGAGAGAGCTTGGATTCGGTCTGCCTGATTAGGGCGGTAAGCACCAGCAGGCAGCTCGACCAGAGTATGAGCTGCAGGTCACCGAAGATAGGCACGAACCAACACTAATAAGTCTTCCCCACAATACAGCAATTAGGAGGCTTGGATTCGGTCTGCCTGATTAAGGCGGTAAGCGCCAGCAGGCGGCTCGACCAGAGTGTGAGCCGCAGGTCACCGAACACAGGCACGCATCAGCGCCTAAAAACCTCCTCACAACATGGCGAAGAGAGGACCCGGATTCGGTTTGCCTGATTGATAGGACTTGTAAGAACCTGTGGCAACTCTAGCAAGCAGAGCAGAGTGTGTGCCACGGGGCACCGAAGACAGGCGCGTATCAACGCCAAAAATAAAAAGAAAGGGGGATCTGTGGGGAGCAATTCGGACTAGACTAAGTTACTGGAATTAAGACTTATTCTATGCATCTGCTCTCCCACAATATGGCACTGGGAGAGAAGAAAACAGCTTTTACACAGCTGCCTCCAGTTCAACCAATAAACTGTAGGACTTGCTCCTGATTGGAGAGCAGCGTACTCGGCGTGTGGGCAGCCGAGTTAGGATTGGCGGAGGAGGACTATTAAGGAGGAGAGAGACGGCATGCACCAGTAACATCTATGGGGAACATCTAGCTGAAGGAACACCTGTGCAGCCCCCGAGAAGAGCCGGCCAGCGGTGTGCCGCTCCCCTGCGGAAGTGGGGAATGTGGCCAGGGGGAACTGCCCTTCCACGGAGGTGGAAGGGATAGTAGCCAACCCGGGAAGAACCAGCAGCAAACCCGGGGAGGGCCGAGCAGACGAAGGAACAGCGCAGGGTCCTGTGTCGTTCCTCCACGAAGAGGGGGAGCGACATTTGTTTTACTCATTTTTTTGCATTGATTATATAGAAAAAAGAAGAACATTTCCCACAATCATAATGAAAGAAGTGACAACTTTTTAAAACACAGACTGTCTGTAGGCCATTTATAAATTCTGCTCATGGCCAGCGGGAATAGCTGGACCTCTTTGTAGTTTGTCCTTATAGAACTGTCAAGGGTTAATTTTGAACCTTGAAAATACTTCCCTTAATTACTCTGCCATAGAATAATTTAACAAGTGCACAGCTTTATACTCCATAGTTGAAGAGGAAGGAAAAATAGTATTCTAGTATTCACAGTAATATAGATAGAAGTAGGAGAATCTTGAAGGTCCAAACTTTCATTTTTGAAATGAAACATCCAAAGCCAAGAACAGTAATTTAAAAATTTTTTCTTAAACAAGAAAATGTGAGAGGAGAATTTCAGGGTCAAAGTACACAATAGATATATGAAAAAGTAAAATATCAATCAATTTCTATTGAGTTTGAATGAATTTGAGCATTTGCATTGAATGAATTGAGCATTTGCAAGTAAACAAACATCAAAAAACTTGGTTTTCATAAACTCTCCATTTTTAGCAACCAATAATAGTAATAATCATAATGTAATAATAATGATATTTATGCAAAATTGATTTCTGCTGAGAGGACAGGTTGGCAGCTTAATATATGTCAATAACATAAGAAAAATATACTCTATTTGTGTTTTTTCCAATATCAAGGGTAACTATGAGTGCTTGGTGAATACAGAATGAAATCCAGAAGGAATAAATGGCTATGTACAGACGTGATTGGAAAAGCAGTGTTGGGGTAAGTTCCAGAGTGGGGCAAAGTCTTCTCTATGTGACAATGAGTTTTTGTTGGGATTTTTTTTTTTATTTCTTTGTCTCTTAACCTCTGAAAATGGAGGGATGGCATAAGACTGAATGACAGAGCAACTTGGTGAGATACATAAAAATATTCAAAATCAGATTTTAAATACTTACCTGGCAGGGGAGAAACCATGATCACAAAGGTAGTTTTCCCAGAGTGAGGCTTATCCACTGCACTGCGGTGTGCTGACCCCTGCGATTGCCCTAAATGTGGGAAACTCCACTGCATGATTTCTGGTGTGGGGCATTCATGCTCTCCCCTGGGGGGAAAACCCTCAGTTTTAAAATACTGCATTTTTTCAATATAAATCATTTCTGCTTCCAAATTTATCATTAAAATCTGGCATTCACTCAAACATCCTGGTGTGAGTGGTGTGTGTGTGCTTCTGAATAAAAAATGTGGCTAAGCTCATGGCAACCACAAAGAAAAATCCTGCAGTGATTTACAAAAGATAAAGAAAAAGGAATAGGAATCAAAACATTATAAAGTGTTTGTAACAAAAAGACCATAGCAGTGGCATAAAGATATATCAACCAGTGAATCAGAATAGAAATCTCAGAAATAAATACATGAAATTTATAATCAGTTAATATTCAATTAAGGTGACGAGAATGCACAATGGTGAAAGGGCTGTCTCTTCAATAAATGTTGGGAAATCTGGAGATCCATAGGGAAGCATGGAATTGTGCAATCGTAGCATTATCTCACACCACATACAAATTCAACGCAAAACAGATTAAAGATTGATATATAAGACTTGGATTGAAGATTTAATGGATGACTTAAAGTCATAAACTATTAGAGGAAAACATTAGAGAAATTCTTGACAGTGGATATGACTTCCAAATCACAGCCAAGAAAAGCAAACCTAGGAAATGTGACTACACTGAACTAAAAGCCTTCTGCACAGCAAATGAAACAATTAACAGAGTGAAGACAACTCACGGAATGGGAGAAAATAGTTATAATGCATGCAACTGACAAGGGGTTAATATATGAAACATGAAGAATTCGATAGCAAGGAAAAAAATTACCTGATTGAAAAATGAGCAAAGCACCTATAGGACATTTCTTTCTTTTCTTTTTCTTTTCTTTTTTTTTTTTTTTGACAGGCAGAGTGGACAGTGAGACAGTGAGAGAGACAGAGAGAAACGTCTTCCTTTGCCGTTGGTTCATCCTCCAATGGCCCCTACAGCCGGCACGCTGCAGCCGGCGCACCGTGCTGATCTGAAGCCATGAGCCAGGTGCTTCTCCTGGTCTCCCATGGGGTGCAGGGCCCAAGCACTTGAGCCATCCTCCACTGCCTTCCGGGGCCACAGCAGAGAGCTGGCCTGGAAGAGGGGCAACCAGGACAGAATCCGGAGCCCCGACTGGGACTAGAACCCGGGGTGCCATGGCCATAGGCGGAGGATTAGCCAATTGAGCCACGGCTCTGGCTTATAGAACATTTCTGAAAGATGACAAACAAACCACTAACAGGTGTATATATATATATATATATATATATATATATATATAAAAGAAACAACATCACTAGCCACCAGGAAAATCATCACCACAATGAGATATCACCTCACATCTTTTGGGACAGCTGTTCTCCAAAAGACAAAAGATAAGTGTTGGCATAGATGTGGAGAAAAGAGAACCCTTAAAAACTGTTATAGGTAAGGTAATTTGGTGCAGTTAATACATAAAAAAAAAGTATGGAGGTCCCTTTAAAAAGTAAAAAGAGAACAACCATGTGATTTAGCAATCCCATTTCTAGGTACATATCTGTATTAAAGGTATCTGCATCCCGTAGTTTACTGCAGCATTGCTTGCAATAGCCAAGATATAGAAACAATCTAAGTGTCTATCAATGAATGAAGACACAAAGAACACACACACACACACACACACACACTGGAAAGGATGGGAGAAAAAAGGGGGCCGGTATTGTGGGCAGAGGGTTGGCTGCTTGCAGCCCCTGCATCCCATATTAGTCCTGGCTACTCCACTATTGATCCAGCACCCTGCTAATATGCCTGGGAAAGCAGTGGAAGATGGCCTGAGTGCTTGGGCCCCTGCACCCACATGACAGACCCAGATGAAGTTCCTGACTCCTGCTTTCCGCCTAGCCTAGTCCCAGCCGTTGAAGCCATTAAAGTGTGAACCAGCACATGGAAGATCTCTTTGTCTCTCCCTCTCTCTCTCTCTCTGCAACTCTGCTTTTCAAATATACAAATATTTTTAGAAGAGGTTTGGGGTTGGGGTAAATCTTCCATTTGCCATAGTATGTATGAACTTGGAGGACACGACCCTAAGGGAAGCATGCCAAAACTAGAGAGATATTACCATGAAATTCAGCAGAAAACTGTAGGTGGGCCTGGACTTTCCAAGGGACGTGGCAGGGTGATGTAGGTTTTGTGCATCATGTTTGACAAACATGGTACCCCTATAGTAAAGAAGACACAAACTTATATAAAACATAGGTTCATGGGCTATCTCAGTGAAGATTAGTAGACAACACAAATATTTTATTGAAGTAAAGGCCCTCAGATTCCACACAAAAATTCATTTTTGCAAACCTGTTATAAACAGAACAAACTTAAAGATGCTCAAATATGAACATGTTTTATTTTTCAAAACTGACTTCAGTTATGTTGTTTTGCACTTCCATTTCCTAATACTAAATCTTTCCAATCTACCTTTCCTCTGTTCTTTGATTCAAGCCTCCATTCCCTCCTGTCATTGATGGAATACCCTATGACCTCTCAGTCCCCATGCACAGTAAGGCATGGCTACATTCTAGGGAGTCATCTCACAGGAAACTCATGAACTTTTGCCATGCCCAGAAGCAAAATTATAAATCACTCCATTACAAAGAGAGAAAAATCAGTATTTCTGTCTAGACAGATGATTCAAATCCTCAGAATGTGTTCAGATTCATTCTCCTTTACTTTGGTCTCCTTACAGTAAGGATGGTTATAGTGACAGAGCAAGGTAACCAGCTTGTATCAGCCCTGGGGAGCTGTATGCCCCAAGTAATATACAACTCATATCATCTTTTCTTCTTTTTTTTTCAGTATTTCTATGAAAGGTATGAAGTGACGTGAAAATAACGAATGTATTTTATAAATAAGTAAATTAAAATAACCATTGTTTTGATATAGAAAGTCAAAGTGTTTAAGATGGCCTTCTATCATGCAGTCATTCTTTCCCTGGTAAAGTAAAGGTTAATTACCTTCTGAAGTCTTCTGATAGGGGTATGTACATTTTAAGATGGCATAAGTTTTATGAGAGGAATTGAGCGTTAGCTAAAATACGAAAGATTTGGGATGGACATAATTAAGAAATTCTTATCAAAGTATGATTAAACACGGAAATAGGATTCTTAATAAACAGTTACAGGATTTCAAATGAAAGTTTACCTTGTTGAGTCTATCCTGTTTATACATTTGCTTATCCCTGGATTGAGATATTGGCATAAATGTCAATGGAAGATTTGTCTCTCCAGGAACTGGTTTAGACAGTCCAAAACACATGTCTTCATCTCAAGCTAAACTAAGACTCCCTTGTAAACAGCAACCTGGATCTAGATAGGTGATTTGCAGTGGGAGAGACACCTCCCTCTGGAGGCCAATTTGAGTATTTTTTTCATGTGTTGAGTGATACCTACTAAAAGATATTTACTGAGAAGGAGACTGGAATGATGGACATCTGACAATTCTTGCAACCCTGGCATAATAAAGAAATACCCTGAACTGTGTAAACATTGCTAAAGGACTTCACTTCTCAGCTAAATATTTAAAAAGCCACTGTCATTTATCTGTAACTACTTTTCATAATAAATACAAAGTAGTTTGATACATGCTAAATGTAATAAAACACTAGAAATCCAACTACTGCATTTATAACGTGAATTTTCAGAGCTTTATGTAGAGTTGTTAACTATTTCAGAAAAACACAACCCTGTAACAGTGTTGTTCACGAGAGTTGGGGATTCAGTATACACTCCTATAAAAATCTCCATGTATAGCTGTCAAATTTCAACTATTTTTCAACTTGATTGATTAATCTATTTAAACTGTAATCCAGTACAACAGTGCCATAGGAACTTTCATATTAAAAATCTATTATTTTGGGGACAGCGCTGTGGCATAATGGGTAAAGCCACCACCTGCAGTGCCAACATCCCATATGGGCACTGGTTCAAATCCTGCTGCTCCACTTCCAATCCAGCTCTCTTTATTCAATTATATGGGCTTTGCTACTTATATAAATGGTTGAAAATTAATACCATGAAAGTTGGCATGCTCTAAAAGTATTTTTATGCATCTGCTAAGTCTCTTAAACAAATGTCCATTGTCCAGACTGCAGCTTGGTGGAAAAGCCTAAGGGCCCAAAGAGGGTGGATAGTAGAAACAGCTTCTGAGATCTGGAAAGTGGAGAGCAGATGTCTGGATTGGGATAGTGGACAACTGTTCTCTGAGGCTGGAAGACAATGATCAAAGGCAAAGATAGAATGATTTTCTTTTTAAATGCAATATATAATGGGGCCAGCATTGTGGCGCAGCAGGTAACGCCACCATTGGCGACACTGGCATTCCACACGGGCGACGGTTAGTGTTCTGGCTGTTCCACTTCTGATTCACCTTCCTGCAGGTGGCCTGGGAGAGCAGCAGAGGATGACCCATGTTCTTGGGCCCCTGCCACCCATGTGGGAGACCCGGGTGAAACTCCTGGCTCCTGGTTTTGGCCTGGGCCAACCCTGGCTGTTGCACCATTTGGGGAGTGAATCAGCAGATGGAAGATCTTTCTCTTTGTAAGTCTGACTTTCAAATAAATAAATAATCTTTTTTAAAAGAATACAATACCAGAATACTCTAGAGATTTTCCATATTAAGAGGGAAAAAGACAAAGTGTCGAAGTTCAGTTACAGAGATACAGAATCCTCCAAGTATAAAATGGCAATTGAAACTGTGGGGGAGGCACTGTGGCGCAGCGGGTTAAGGCACTGCCTGTGATACTAGTATCCCATATGAGCTTCACTTGTGGTCCTGACACTTCTGCTCCATCTCCCCGCGAATGTACCTGGGAAAGCAATGGAAGACGGCACAAGCACTTCCAGCCCTGCCACCCATGTGGGAGACCCAGTTAGAGTTGCTGGCTCCTGGCTTAGGCTTGACCCAGCCCAGGCTATTGTGGCCATTTGGGGAGCACAGCAGGAGATAGAAGATTTCTCTCTGTGTTTCTCTGTCTCTCTGTCTCTCTCATGTGTGT